TGGGGCATTTAACATTAATGTTGGACCCAGGATTTGCCAAGGGGAGTAGTACAAATATTTAAAAGAAAATATAATAATAATAATAATAATAATAATAATAATAATAATAATAATAATAATAATAATAATAATAATAAACAATAGAAGACGGGAATTTTACTGTAATAATTTCTCTCATAACCACACACCCTCCTCTTGCGAACATCAACACGTGTTTGACTGCGTTGTGGCTGGTTAAATTGCTACAGATGTGCTCTAATTACCTTTCTCAACTACCACAATCCTCCACAAGCTACCACAAGCCTGGCGTGTCTGGTCTGAAAACAGCAATTTAAAAATATGACCATCAAGGGTCCGTTTCACAGATAAACCCCAATCCAAGTTTTAAGACCGCAAATTTGACCCCTTTCCGTTAAAGATGAAATCCTGTTCCTCTGAAATGAAGTAAAAATATCGTTCTGAGATGTTGCGTGTAAATGTTCATGTAGCTATGCTTTTCCTCTTTTTAAACGGACAAACAATCTCATTTAGAATTGTCTTATGTATACTTTTTTGTTTTAGTTTAAGTTGTGTGAAAGGCATTCAATGTATTTCCTTATACATTTTCACTTAACACAATTAAACAGTAAAAGTAAAAGTAAAACAGTAAAATTAAACAGTAAAAGTATTGTTTTAAAATGTTATCTGTAAATCTAGGGCCTAAATGTACATGAAGCTACATGTCTTTCTTCTTTTTAAACGGACAAACAACCTCATTAAAAAAGAAACATAGAAATTAATCATTTTTTTAGTTTAAGTCGCGCTAAAGGGAATCGATGTTTTCCTAAATTTTTAAAAATAAATAGGAGGGTATCAGATAATAAAATCCCCGTATCCTGTTTAGCCTTCATATATTTTAAAAATCATCAGACAATATTTTGAAAAGAACAAAAGGGAACGCCAAAATTGGGAACTTCCTTATTTCACTGGCATTCTGACAAATAAAAACAGGCTGATAAAAGGAGTGACATTCCGGCCTCGTGACCCCAGCGTGTGACCTATTTTCCAACTTTCAGCCAATCAGATGCAAATCAGTTCCCTGTCGTGGTAAAGTTCGACGAGGGAATAACAAGCTTCCGGGTTGGGTTTTCCTAAATTTTAGTCGAGATGTAGCGCTGAAAGAATCCTTATATGTGACCGCTACGACATTTGACAGCCCTAGAGGTCGATCTGTGCGTTTTAAGATCAACACGATGGCTGAATTTGGACAGAAAACGATGTTTCTGAACGTTTCCTCAGTGATTTTATTTGCGGTAAGTTTAAAAAGTTATTATAGCCGCTACAGCGTGTAAGTGTTAATGGTGGCACATCTGATGCAAGTGTCAAGATCATTGGTCAAGATTAAGTGTGATGTTTAACGAGATTACTGCAGCTACAGTTCGAGGGTTAATTACTTTGTGGGAATTTACTGTAATACGGCGTTTTAATTGGCATTCTAATCCTTTTGTTTGATATCGATTTACTAAAGCGTAGCAAGCCCACTGTATCCATACTTATTACCCCACATTTGCATTTCAAAAGTAACTGTAAACTGGAGTGTTAAAGTATTTAGGTTACCCTTAGGCTGATACAAGGTCCTTATTTAAGGTGTTTATATATATACATTTATGTCCTAGTACTGATATGAATAATACATCTGAGTAAATAAATAAATAAGTGATTAAATGAATTAGAATAAATAAAAACAGAAATGAAATAGAAAAATTGAAAAGATAAAGAAAAGTAAGAAAGAAATGAATGTAATGATGTAACAATACAAATACTGATTTTGAATATTTATTGATCATCAGAAAAATTTTAATATATTTTTATTTTCATTAAATATTTGGAACTGGTGTCATACACCCCATTTCCATAGATTTTTAGATCGATCTATCCCTGTGGGGAGTCTCACTAGATTACTGTCAGCTTGGCCGGCTTAATCGTCTGTCCTGCCTACTAAAAGCTGTAAGGGGGTAATTAACTATGGTGCCCGCTCGGCTGACTGCAATTTAGTGTGAACCCCCAGGGAGTTAGGTCGATCTCAAACTTAATATTTAGATCGATCTAAATCTCTGGGAAAGCACCCATATTCTGTGTGTATGAAATATAAAACAGTGTGCATTTGTTTTGCATCAAAACTGTATGTGTGTTAGTGTGTTTGTATATGTTTGTGCATGCATGTGTGTACATGTGTGTGTTTATGCATGTATGTATATGTATGTGTGTGTGTGTGTGCATGCATGTGCATGTGTGAGGGACGTGTGTGTATGTGTGTGTATGTGTGTGTATATATGTGTGTCAGAGAGAAAGAGAGAGAGAGTGTGTAACACAATCCCATCTGACAGCCAGACTTTCTATTTGAGAGTAATTATGAATTAGGCCATTTTTTTTTTTTTTTTTTTTTTTTTTTGGGGGGGGGGGGGGGGGGGGAAAAAAAAAAATTTTAAGGGGGATTTAAAAAAAAGGAGCAGGGTTGTTTTTTCAGTTAGGGCAAGTGTATG